CAAGGGGACCAGGGGACCAAGGGGACCAGGGGACCAAGGGGACCAGGACGACCATGTGGACCAGGAGCAAGCATACAAGAGACGGGAAAGGAAAATAAGTATTTTTTGATTAGTTAATTAATTTGTTGTTGATTACGTAAATAATATTTTTTTGATTCAGTAATTAATTTCTTTTTGATACACATGCCCAAGCGCAGAGTGTAACCCCCCTGCAGTATGCCAAGAAGGCAAAGATGCGACACTTCAGACTTCTGGACACGCATTGACGTACGCGAAGACAAAACTGTGCAGCCCAAGTAGAGACCCGGTTGCATGGAACCACATCCTGGAGTAATCGTGGAAAACCCAACCAATCAGCCCTTGGCGAACCCGGCACCCGCAGAGTTCTCAAAGGCTCGCTGTCCAGAGAAGACACTTGGCAATTCCAAACTGAATGGAGTTTCCAGCCGCGTAGCCAATAAATGATTGCAAGTGGCCCATGCGCAGTTTCTCCCAAGAGAGAGGGGCTCCGAGCGCCGCTAAGAAATAGAGCAAAGATGTAGCCAAGAGGGGGGGCGCCTTGGCAGGAAACAATGCCAGCCCATCAGCGACGTAAAGGAAAAACCGTGCTTGATCCAAAGAAATTGGTGACAACGCCAGGCGAGGAAGGCAATACCCGCGAGAACACAGTAGGCTGCCCACCAACATCCAAAATAGCAAGACCTGAAGGCAAACCATGAGCCTTTGACCACAAAGCAGATCAAAGCAGGACAAACCCTGCTCTGGAGGGGTAACGTTCACCAGTTTGTGAGCTCCTCTCACATCGAAATTCAGCGCGCCCCAGCACTCGCCAGCCTAAGTGACATGAAACGTTGCACGCTTTCAAACGTTGGCAAGCGCACCTTTTCCTTGATCACACAGCGGCTGTTCGCGCCAGAGACGGTGCCATCACCCATGAGACGAGGTTTTTTTTCCCAGGTGGTTGGGCAATCCCTAATCTTCCACCAGCTACAAGGTCACCCCAACGCAACTTCACTTCAGCTTCACCGCCAAGAAGTTCAAAAGCGAGCGTGTCGCTGCACGCAAAACTTGCTCCCGAGAAAGGTCGACAAAGTCTGTCGCGCTTCAGAAATTTCTATTGCCGAAAAAAGCGTCTCATCTGATGGAATGCTTCTGCAATCTCCCGACTGCACCCCAAGAAATACAGCAGCAGGTCACGCGCACCCCGCGGCGCTAACCAGTCAGCAGACGAGGCGCAGCCACCACCATCTGGAACGCTACCTAACCTAGCGACAGATGCCGCTTGAGGTGCTGTCTGAGCTAGTTACCGCAACTGATCCTGCCACTTGGGGCATGCAGGACAAGGCAGGCTCACGTTGATCCAACATGGTTCCCATTTCATCGGCTTCATCATCTAGTCATTCGGCGTGTTCGAATTTGCAATCATCACCCGCGGCGCACTTCCCAGGCAAAACACTGAGATTTCGCTCGCTGCTTGGGCTCATCAGTTAGCTTGCCTTGCCCTGGTAGTCCCGTTGCTTCTTGCCATCATTGAGAGGCTGCGGCAACCGACGTTTTGGCTTTTTGGGCCACACCATCCTCTTCCAAGCCTTGCAAGCCTGGCAATGCCTTCTGCACCAATCTGGGCCTCGGGCCGAAATAGTGGCGAAAGAAATCTTCACAACCATGCACCCAAAGGGGTGTCCAAGGACACTCCATCACGAAGCACTTGCTTGAAGACTTCACTTAACACCTCCCGGGTTTGGCGCTCTCCAGCCCGCGCCATATTTGCATGAGCAATGGCTGATGATTTTATGAGTGTACGCCAGCCAGTTTTGCAAATGGCCGCCACTACAGAGAGCGTAGGCAAACGCTCGAGCGCAAAGACTTTGAAAATGCATGCAAGGTACAGTTTCGCGCTTGCTCGGTCGAAAGGCCACCAACAGCCACCAGCAACTTGCGAAATTGCCCTAATGCGTAAGCGAAACTGGCACGGGCCACTGGGCCCAGGTACCAAAAAACACCTGCCAAAGAGTGTCACATAAGACACACCCTCGCCCGAACACGCATGGGTCCCAGAGTAACCACTCCGAAGGGCATGCCATACCTTGAACTTTTGGTGCGATAACACCAGCCTTGCAAAATGCCACGCACAATTTGACAAGTAAGAACCCAAAGCAAGTGTTTGAGCACCACCAAATCTCAATGCGCCCCAAATCATGAGCAGAAAGAAAACAACTAAAGCCAAAGCATCTTGGTCACCACGGTGGCCAAATCTTCATGGACTTGGGTTTCAAAAGCAGGGACCACGGAAAGTGGAAGAGCCAGCGCCTCTTTACGTGGCCCCCAAGTTCCTTGCACCTCACACCAGCACATCACTACCGTACGCCCCAAGGTCGTCAGCTAAGCGCCCCAACCCATCCACAAATTTCAGTGAAGCTACAGAATTTTTGTCACCACAAGCAGTTTTACCATTGGACATCAGAGCTTGTACGTAGCCCACAAAGGATTGAAGGCAGGCCAATCGCGACGGCAAGCAAAGTCAAGCCACAATTGCCAAATTGGCAAATGGCGACGCAGAGTGGAAGCCGCTTGCTTTGACAGCATACACTTCAAGCTAGGTTGCGCCAAGCCGCCCAAATCCGCAAAAATCGGTGCGTGAGGCAAAAAGTTTCCGAGCAGTCCAGCCCAAAGGCAGGCCCGCTTGTGCAATTCCAACTCATCTGAATGAGCAGCACTTGCACAAGCGCCGTAGCCCTTCGCGATGCGCCAGTATTTTCAATGGCTGGGGCTGTAGCAATCTCCGATGCAAGAAGCGTGGGACTGCTGGAGGTCCCCCGCTGCCGGGGGCAAGCCAGTCCCGGCTGTAAGGTGCTCACGTCACGAGAAGCTGCGTGCACCGGGCGCATAGGCCGAGGTAACGGCATCACAGCCCAGCAAACCAAATGAAATTCAGAACCCAAGAGGTGAAATGCATAAACGCCTAACAGGCACAACAACACAAAGGGTGCCTCACTCTAGTACCGTCAAGTACACCAAGTCAACAAAAGAGGTCGACCGCTAGAGTGAATTAGAGAGGGTGGTATTCTTACGCGCAAGCCCATAAGAATCCTGCACGTGGCTCTCTTCTTTCGCTATGATCGTTATTTCCACCAGATACAACATCAGAAGTTATCATATCAAACGGCGTGTCGGGGGAGCTTATTACATAACGCCTGACCCCCCCCCAAAAAAAAACACACAATCAACAACCTACGTTTGAGACCCTGGCCAGCGTGACATATCCCCTCAGCACAAAGCCAAATGCATGGAACTCAACGTTGATTAGTTAATTCGCATGAAACTCAGGCGTCTTGCTCAACTTCGAATCAAAGCGCTCCAAAGGAATGTACCGTAACGTGCTCAGCACAGCCCTCTAGAACGTTGCATGCTATGCTTCTGGCATGAAGAAGGCTGCATACCATGTGCTGACCTTGCGCGCCGCTTCGCCAGGCCATTGTCACAAGCAAGGCTAGTTTCCGTAAGTCAACGGCAGCACAGCAACTCACCCAAAGCAACGTACAGTTTTGAGAAAGAATGTGAATCACCTCAAAGCTGCGGCAACTTGAGCTTATCTAAACTTTCTTAGTCATCCCCGCCAAGACACGTATTCTACCACAGGTCGCGCATAGGTTGGCCAACCACCAGAGTGAGTGAGCTCGAACCTTTGCACACATCTATCAAAAATTCCCTGCAATTGATTGTCTCAAGTTCCACCGCTTTGAATTGAGGTTGAGGCATCGAGTAGACTGCCCGCCAGCCGCTTCCATAGTACCTTAGGAGCTACGCAGTTGACCCAACCGGTGTGATTCATCTATGGAAAGTTACTGAGATGGTTTTGCGGAAACTTAATGATTGAACGTAAGCGAAGTCAGCTAAGTCCACCACTGATTGATCCACGCTCTATGCTCAAAGACCTGCTCAAAGATGGAGAAAAAGAAAACAACATGCCTTTATACTGACCACAATGCAAAGAGCAAGTGAGGCCGGGGAATTGGTGAACATGAAGCCAAGCACACCCTTGAGATGTGCTGAGGCTAAAACATAACGGCCAATCTATCTATGTAGATGACAGCACAAGCAAAAGGAAGACAGCGATCACAGCGCAGCTGCAGCCTGAGTTTCATCCAATATAAAGCCTTGGATGAGTCCGTTCCCCTGCAATCTGTGTCAACAGTTCGATGGGCTCAAGAAGTCCTCCTGAGGCCAACGCTGTGGAGTGACTGCGAAAGCAAAAGGCCACCTTCAGCAAGCGAGATGGACAAGTGACAAGTGCATCTCCTCGCTGATCCCAATAGTTTCCGAAGAATGAATTTCACAGAAGACGCCAAGGAATTCAGGTCAGGGGCCTATGAACTTCAGAATCATCAGCAGCACCATCGACCAAAATAGAGCACCGATGCTAGCAATAAAGGTCGATGCCCTGAGTCAGAGAATGAAGTCAAGTCACAAGACAATTAATTAGATACGTGGATTACATTCAGAACCTGAGAGCTTAGAGCATGGAAGATTGTGCAAGTGTTGCAGCAAAACAGCAAAAAACAAGTGTTCGGCACTCCATCCGAGACTTGAATTGGGCAAATTCGTCCGACAGCTACATTTTGATTGTCCAGTTTCTAAGCACCTCGAACTTCCATGGATCTCCAACGTGCACAGGATGGTGCAAAGCTGGAACATCAATAAGTCCCCACGGTTGGAAAATCATGGAACACCTACAGTAGATTCTAGGTCTGTTCTTCTGCTGAATTGGTTCTTCAACTCACTTTTGTGGAAACTTTCCCTTGCAGGGTGCTTCTCCCGCTTGACCATCATTCGGGAGTACTTCCCATTCTGATTCCTTGTCACCTGATGCCTGGGGTCCGCACAAGACTCTGAGCCTAAGTCCAGCTGAGCGCACTTCCCAAGTTTCATTCGACTTAGCAAACTCCTTCCGGCTGTGCCCGTCACAGCTTCGATATTCCCGCAAGATCTTCCAATTTTCCACCAACACCGCGAGCTCAAACCAACCAGTCCACGAAGAAGCAACAGAAACGGATTTTCCGAATCTGTGCTGTGCTGGAATGCAGTTCCACTGATTCTGACGCATTACCCAAGAGGCTGGCGGACGAAAAAGAGTCATGACCTCTGCTTCAACGCTCTCCGAGCCGCTGGAACGAAGTTTATGATAGGTTAGTTAATTTATAGCTGATGCAGTTTGGTTCCTTGTTTGCAGTTCTCTACGTTCAAGTATTTTCTCTTTCTCTCCATTCTGCTTGGAGCCCAGCTCTCACCACCCGCAAGGTCCTGGTGAGACGAAGCAACCGCATGGCTTTGGCCACTGACAAGTTCACCTCGGAAGAGATCGAGGAAGCGATCAACCCCCTTGGCCCGGTCTTGGTCACAGTGGACAATTTTTGCCCATAGCCTGCTCCCCGACTATTTGATTGAGTAGGCACCTGCTTAATTAAGTAAGAGCTATTAAGTAGGAATCTACTAGCTGCTGGACGCAGGATAGCTCATGCTTCTCAAGGAAGCTACCCGACCCCTTGCCGAATCGAAGAAACGCTCCCCATATGCGTTTGGTTCCTAGATGCTTTGGAAAAACAATTACAGTACCTGTATCATCCCGTATCTGAATTTGTGTATAGGGAAGATCAAGGATCACAGCAATGCAAATGGCACGTCTGCCGCAACCTCTGCTCAGACAGAGTCATGTACTTTTGTGTGTGTGTGCTGATGAAGGTGCACCAGGCAAGTCTGATGACCGCAGTGGAATGACCGTTGTTTGGGTGGCAAGCAGCTGCCAACGTGATGTTCTCACCTCACCTAGTGACCTAGTGCCTCAAACTTGCAATGATTAGGTGGCCAGTTGACCTATATTGACCTCAGTCAGAGCAGCTCAAAACTGCCAAAAAGACATTGAGCCTTGAGGCCAGTGAATTGTCAATAGAGTAGGTTCTGACCAGGTGTACAAATAGGCGAAGCAGAACATCCTCTCGGAGTGCACTGAGAAGTCAATGAAATCTTGTACTGAAGTTGTGCTACATATACAAATGAATACTTGCTGGCAATCGTCAATTCAAGTGGTGGACAAGCTTGAATTCATTGGCAATTGTAGGTTGCGAAATGGTTTAATTCTCAGGGTTTCTGGATCAAGGGGATCCTTATTGCTGCTTGGATTTGCAGGCTTCAAGGGCACCTCCTCTTTCTACCTGGTTCTCTGTTCCTTGTGCGCTTCATGCGGGTGTCTGTGCGTCTCTGTGTTTGTGCGTGTGTGTGCGTAACTGACCTTTGTGCCCCGTTCGGCTTTATGATCTTCACTGAGCCAATGGAAGGCCCACTGACATGCAACAAACTCAGCAACTGGCATCGCTGCTGTTCAGAAAGAACATCGTAATGGCGCTGATCAAACAAATCCCAGCATCCTCAGGTTGGCTATGGTCTCAATTCGTTTAGTAGACTCTTCTTCATCCAGGAAAGGAAAGTCACACAGCAATATGGAGGTATGTGTACGTTGCGTGATGGCAGGAAAACTTGTCTGCCATCCCTAACAAGCACCTCATGGTAGGGCAACCGTGAAGATCGCTGAATTGCCCTATTAATAGTGTGAGATCTGGTTCTGTCAAACCGAGTCAAACCGGATGGAATAGCAAAATGGTCCAAAACATACAAGTGAGCTCTACCAAAACATGCTCTAAGCATAGATAATACTTCGGGTAACTTTTGTCCTTGCCAAAGTTCTCGTTGATTTCCATGTTTCCAAAGGAAATCCTTTTGCTCAACACGTGATAAATTCCAAAACTGGAAACACAGGAAATCCATGGAAATCCACGTCCTTGTCTTCCTTCCTCTGTCCTTCCTGTGCCTTTTCTTTTGATTAACTATGCAAGTCTTAATTCCAATTCATGTCCATGTGTTTCCTTTCATATTAAGAGTTCTCCTTTCATCTTCCCTTCATTTCCATTTAAAGCAACCCCTGGACGAGACTCCCTGCAATGATTTTTTGAAATTGTCGTAAATTGTCTAAGTCTAATCCTTGCGCTGCTGATCACTCGTTTGAAGCGGGGTACCAGCATCAATGACAAAACGGGCTGCCATTAGGCGCAAATAAAGCGAAGTATAGGCAAGCTGCAAGCAAATTCGTGTACTGGATTCCGGTCTCGGCCTCGAATGAATGAGTGTAAAAAACAAAAGCCTGTCAATTCCAAGGCAAAGGTTCCAAATAGAGCAGTCTTGAATAACTTTAATCACCAAACACTTAGGTGTCGAGCATTCCAAGCCCAACCCAGTCCTGCGCATCCAGAGCGGAACATGCTGCAATTGCGTACGGCATCATTTTCAAGATTTTCAAGTCCGACTCAAGGACGGTAATTAGGAATTCGTATAGAGCTACTGCATCCATGGCAACCCACTGATTGAGTGCAGTGCACAAAGAGCTGCAAGCGTTTCAATGTCATGAGCGAATCTGTTTGGACTTGCCCCATGGAAGCCCAACGCTCAGCCTTTCCATCAAAACAAAGGATACATTAGCAAGACACCTCTTTTGTGCTTGGGGCACCGCACTTTGGACACTTATCCGAACGACGAGCTCAACCAAGTAAATGACAATGTACCTAGGCATGGGTGAAGAAGAAAGCTCTCAAGCTCCCCAGCACCTAGCTGGACCAGCTGGACCGCACTGAGTGTTGCACACAGTCTCAATATCTTCAAAAGTCTCTCCTGACAGCGTCAAACGAATCTCATCGAATCTCATTAGGTGCTTTGCTGTGCCCCTTGCAGCATATGCCCCCCCAAATCGGCCTGCATTTCCCCAAGACGACAGGGGATCATCTCCAATCCCAACGCTGGCCTCAGCAAGGGAGTGAACTACACATCTGCAGCTGTGAAGCGCTACACTTGATGGAGCTTTATGAAGCATGACAGATACAAGGGAGTTTGTAAAGTTCAAGTCTGAGACTGCGCAGTCCACGTGAGTATCTCTGAATAGATGAATGCACAATTTATGTAATAACTATTTCTGGCTCGAGAGTGCCGATATTAATATGTGCCAACCCCAGCAAGACTCCAGCTGATGCGACTGCCCCAAGCCACTGGGACTGCACCTGAGTCGTCAGAAAAGAGATGGATCTTGGGTCCTTCAGGCTCCGTCTGTTTGCTTATGGAGGGATGTTGAAGATACGGCCTGCCCACAAAAACGTTTTGGGTTTGGTCTTTTTAGCCCTGCTTTGAGCACTGCTTCGAAACGTTTGCCTCAAGGTTTCCGGACCTGGGAGGCACGGCCCCCAAATCTACCACGTCGTATCTGAACCCCATACCCCGGAAACAGCTCTTTAAGAAAGACTGCCGGGTGCAAAACAAACAGTCCCACAAAAATAGTGAAGCATCCTATGAGTGAATTGGCAAGAAGGCATGACTCACAAGCAGCATTGAAGAATTACCGAGTGGCATGGGACATATGAAAGCATCTGGGAGGAAATCTGGCTAGTAGCCACTCTGCATGTAGGTCTACGAGCAATACCCTTACCCAAAGGAGCTCCAAAGGTTGTGCAAAGACGGCAATTTTTGGAAAACTTGCGCCACGGTCATGAAGAGGAGCATGAGGGAATGACAATAAGTCATCTGAGTCATTGGTCAAGAATCCACGACCAGAAGGACCAGAACCCTGTTTTATCCAAATGCGACCAACTCTCGTCTGGACTCGGTGCACTTGACGCCCCTTTTCCAGAAATTGTTGATTTGTACTTAGGATCCCAGCAACATGAGGAGCCCAATGCACAAACTGGGCAGCTTCAGGCTGTCTTAGGCTCTGGCAAACATCACAATAGCATTTGATATGACAATGGTGCCCATTATCATATCCATCGGACCGCCGTCCACAAAGTTCGTGATCGTCATCTCAGCTTTTGCCAGGGTTGCCCTCTATCTCTGGGCGCTCGTTTTAGACCATCCACCAACAAAAAAAAGTACTGAGCAACCAACAGACCGCAACTTGTCCCAGCATCCCTGGGCACCTGGTCAAAAAATGGGCAACCGCTCCGGGTCAAATCACACATGTTCACGGTGTTGCATAATACAATCCTGCGCAATGCATCGAATCCAGTTGAAATAAAGTCAAGGCTGATGTGACGTCTGGGATTCCGGACCACCAAAGCTCAGGTCCACCTGCAAAGTCTGAAGCATGCTTCGCTGCGTTACTAGATCATACAGAATCTCACAGGTGTTCTGGTCCAGGAGCTTGCCCTCATTGTGTGCATAAATAGCAAGCACGCACCGTGGGCAGAAAGCGTGCGTGCGAATGTGTTTGCACCGCGTGCGCCGCGTTTGCGACGCCTGCGCCCCTCGCGCCGCCTGCGGCGCTTGCGCCTCCAACTGAGTCTAAGCCGTTTGCTCCACTTGCGTCTGGTGGAGTGCTGTGGGTGCATGCGGTGAGCGACGCGTGCCGCCGTGTATGTAGGGAACGCGCGCGCGATCATTGATGTTGGCATGCCACATGGTAAACATTGATGACATCATACCTGGTGCAAACAGCGGGTGGAGCGGAGCGGGAACGGAAGGCGCTGATCGTCTCACAATGTAAACTGTCGTGTGAGTGTGTGTGCAATCATCATAATATCAATATTACATAAATGCACAGTATGCGCCTTGTACATGTCCACGCAGGGTTCTATGACATTCTACCAGCATAATTAACTCCAGCAACCCCTTGCGCATCATACTCAATCACACTAAACAGTCTCCTAAGCAACCTTTCCTCCCTTGGAAAGGTTGTACAGCACTCCGGCAACTACTTGAGAAAAGTACGACGATCTATATACACAATTGAAATATCTGGAATCCAAAATATTCTTCAGAAGAAACCTAAAATGCCCTCTTCTTGGTGGTGCGGCAAGGCTCATGTCACTACTTGCCTGAGCTGCCGGAGCCATTTTGCAGGTATATGTTCAGCACGTCGCGAAATGCAAATTTCTTCGGGTGCGCAGCCTTGCGCAGTGCTCCGTGGATCTTTTTCAGCTGGCCACTCTTCAAGTGAGTCACATCCTCGGCATTGCTTATCTATTTCTTGTGAGCTTCGTTTCTGCGCATCTATGTTGTTGGAGTCTGAAGCTATGAAGTGGCGCCTGGTCCAATCATGGGAGACACTTGTCAAGACAAGACACTTCTTTCACTTGCTTCACCATCTCCTCGTTTTCTTCTTCTTTCTTTCCCACGTTTTGCCGATATGCCTTAGAAGCAAATGATCTTTGTTCTTGGTGCTTGCTGCTTACCAACATGAAGGATACACACTCCAAGCTTGCTATGCCGCCGAGGCGGGCATCAGTTCTTGAATTGAGCACCCCACCTTGCTTGCCACTTGTATAGATATACAAGATATATCAAGATATACTATATTGCATATGCCCTGCAAATCAGAACACCCCGCGGCCGTTTTGCATTCAGGGCGCCTCTTTCTTGGCTTTCCTGGGAGATCATCCCACGCTAGATTAGAACAGTAAAATGCCCTTAGAAAGATCTTGAGGCTCAACCATGCATACTTGCAATGTACTCTGGTTATTGATGGCAGGCCACTTGAGCTGCTGAAGGTGAGCCTTCTCCAGTTGCTCCTGCAGAAGAACCACCAAGCCATGGACGGCCAGACCCCGCAACCAGAATAAACATCGTTGAATCCCAAGCTTGCAGTAACAGGCAAAGAGGGCTAAAACGCACGCCTCCTGCAAGTCTCGTGTGCCAGTGCTACCATCCACCTTCAGCTGAAGCAGATTTGGCGCATGTTCGAGTCCAACACTTCTCAGGCTCAAGCAACCGGAGTCGTAGTCGCAGTGATACGCGACACAGACGAATGAAATTGGATCGCTTTGGAACTCCTTGGACAATATCAGAACTCCTCGCACACCTCCAAGATGCTAGTGACCAGTGGCAGGGGCTGGTACCCCGCATTAGTAGGTGTCGTCTCCACAGTTGCCGTGCCATTCCTCTCACCACCCACCTGAGACAACTTGCATTGTCATGGAGCTTCTTCATAGGCTATTCAATGCTATTCTCTATTCACTATTCTAAGCATTCTGGCACTTGCCAATGGGCCCACGGGCAAAGAGCCAACACCGAATACCGCACCTGGGCAGGACGAACGGCACACAAACCTCTAGCAAGGTCCCTCCACTTGCGGGACAACGGGCATTCAGATCTGGCCGCTTAACCGTGGCACAAGCGCATCAGAACTACAGAAAAATGTAAAACTGCCTCTATCATGCAAGGCCCCGACCATCAGGCATAGGTCTCCTGAGCAGAGTATCAGGCTACAGAATGACAAAGGATGAAGACATTCCTGGGGCACTACCGACTCAACCAACAAACTGACATTTCTTCAACCATAACAATTTGGACGCCGAGGAGCGACGAATGCTCTTCAATGAGCTCTCGCAAAGCCTGAGCATTCTGTGGGCTTTCGTGGCTGAAAGCAAACCGTCTACGGCCTAGCAAGCCGAGCAAACCGTGATACATACAAACAATTGCATGTATAGCTCTCACAAGGTATATATTTTATCCTTCAATTCATATACTATACCTCTCTATAAAGTGGACTTTTACTTGAATGTATTTGAAGGCTGACAGTGATCCTCCGTGTGCCTTGTGGTGACGATCAAGGGTATTCTGAATCGCCTGGGTCAAATATCATGACAGGGGGCTCCATGCTCGCAGTTCATCTTGTATAAGGACCCTGCCCTCAGGTTTTCCTCCAATTGGTGCTGGACCCACCTCGACAAAACCACAAACCAATTTTGATCTGCAGCCAGTTTACCACTTCTTCAACACGGAGGGTGGCTGTTGAAGACATTGCCAGCCTGCGGTCAGCAAGCACCTGACCAATCAATGTTTTACAAACTTTTCCTGTTGGTTCCTGGTGTAGTTCCTCCTTGTTATCCTTTGTTTCTGTGTTTGCTATTTGCCGGTTGGTTGATCCATACGAATTACAACTGACCGGGCTGCGATCAGCCACATGGAGAGCTGAGAAAGGCGCATTGTCAGCTCTCGTGGGTGAAGCGCAACCACGCCTACAGTAAAGAAAGGGTCGCTGTCAAGTGTTGCTGAGGTCAGTCGATCCAACCCTGCTGACGTCTTCATGTCCACGTTTTCAAGTGCTGTACAGCCAGGATGAATCCTGGAAGGTTTTTCTTATAGAATCAAACTGCACACAAACCCTCAACTTCCATACTAAATAAATATGCAGTATACGAATTCCTGCAAAGAATGGTTTGTGAATCACCTTGGCTCGCTGGTGTGTGTGTGTGTACTGGACCATGCTCATACATGTAATGGTTCTTGTATGTCTGTGTGTGTACGGCATTGGTGTAACCACGAGACGACGCATCAAACAAGCCCTCGTAACATCCTGCATGGAATTCTCCATCGAAACTAAATCATGAGCAAGGTGTTGCCAGGTCAGAAACCAAGAATGTTTGAATTGGCTGTTTGGGCTTCTGATTCTGCCATTCCGAAAAGGCATTGCTTCCGATGTTGCGAACTGGCTGGGAATGCAAAGAAAACAAACAACCTACATTGCTGCATGGGCTATCCGGCTATGTTCTTGCTTGCTGCGTGAAGCAAAGTTTAGGTGTTCATCGCGCTCAGAGCCCAAAAAGAAGTTACAAGCCATGTCCAGCTGTGAGACAAGTCTTTTCAGGTCCGTTCTGCTTCGCTACCACACTCCCACCCAGTCCCACCCCCCACCTCAGTGCACTGCACATGCTGTAAGTGGCAAGCATCAGCAATGCAATGCCAGTATTACTTTATTTGCATACTTTCGACCGGCTCTCCCTGCGCTCCCTGATTGCTTGGTCATACGGCAAAGGCTAAGTCTAGTTAAAACCTTCTGACCTTGCAGAAGACTGGGGCAACTCACTGAGGCAGTGAACAAAATCGATAAACAAACCTTGACTGCCACTTTCAAAAAAGCATACAAAGATGTCGAAACCAAGTACCGGTGCATACCAGCGCTCAGCGAATACCTGCTGCCTCAGGAGGTGATGTTTAGAAAACACTGGACTCGAATACTCGCTGCTTGGGGTGTTGTACCAAGTTCAACTCGCACAGTACGCTGGAGGATCCTCAACTGAGGTTCAGTTTTGACCGGCTGTAATGGGTGGTATATAAGGGGTTCGCACAGATCTGTCAGTCATAAGAGAAACGTCTGAGGCGAAGGCCACGAGCATTGGATGTGCAAGCTTCTCGCAGAAACATCGACTCCTCGTTAGGCCTTGGAGCATTCTTCTCCGATTGAATCAAACAATAATTATGGTTATATATATCATGATTGTATAACAATATGCAACCTGAAGGACTCATGGCACAAAATCCTAACCCTGTGGCTTTTTCTTGCTGCTTCTACATGACTGTCAGCTGGCTATTCCTGCTTAGCAGGATCTTGGGGTGAACCCGAGCTGAAGCTGGTGGGTGGACATGAAGCTTTATGTTGCAAGTGGCCTTTGTCGCTCGAAGCATGCAAGCAAAACCAATCCCACCTTCAGAAACTTTTGGCATGCTTGAGACAGTGTCCCTAGATTGGACAGCCACATACGCGCGCAGGATCATGGGTGAAGACAGTTGTTTAGACTGGCTCCAGCATGTTCCAGCTGGGGTAACTATATGGAGTGAGTGGTACCTTTGCCAAAGCCAAAGTTCGGGTGGGGACCAAGTTGGAAACGAGTCTTCCGCCATGAACGCGGTTCCGGCGGTTCCATCTCAGTTGATGCCCCAGAGTGAAGAAGCTTGCAGCATCTTCATGGTCTTGAAGTCCTCAGCCGCAACCCTATGGACAAACGTGCACTTCCTTGCAAAAGCTACCAAACGCATTCAGAAGCGAGCAAGCCACCACACTTCCAGCACAATTTCTGACGAAACAGAGGCACCGGCCATGCGGCTGCGTGCACTGGGCCTGCCGAAGGAGTAGACGCTCTGCGTCTTCATATCGGGATTCGGCCTGACATCGAAGGCCCACGACGGCTCTTCTAGTAATTAGCGTCCTTGCTCCTAGTAGTAAGGCCAGGAGCCCCTAGTAGGGTCTCTCTTATGGCGCCGCAGAATCTGGTTTTGAGCTCCGAACTTTTCATGCACCTCATAGGCACCGGGACCTGGCGCCCTTTCGTTCCGGTCTCCTGGAAGACCTTGGAAGAAACATTGCACCAGCTGTGTTTGGAAGGCGTTCCCGAGTTGCCCTACGCTCCGCCCTGCAGAATGAGATTGATCGGCCAGCCAGCCTGGAGTCAGGAACAAGATTGCAAAAGTAACGAACAAGTGCATTAAGGAACTCAACTATTAAGATAATGAAGAGCCAGTGTCTGACCCATTCATTCCGTTATGGCATATCCTGGTGTACGTAGCATGGCATGTGCTTGCCACATCCATCACTTGATATCACTCGCACAGTCACTCGCACTGGCAGGCGCCCATATCATGCGGTTGAGTCGCTGGTATGGCAATGGAGGGCCAGGGCCAGGTGATGACCGACCTTGCCCCTCCTTCTCGGAGCCGGGGAACCTGAAATGCGGCAGGTTCAAACCCTTTCAAGCATGTGAAGACCTATGCCCAAAGGAAAAGTCAATTCCTGAAAAAGCGGCATTGTGCCTGTATTTCATTTCTACAACACACATCCACCAAAACAAGAACATAAAACATACTGACTGACAGAACTGCTGCACATACGGTGCTCCTGTTCAATGCCGACATCCAGGCCTCACTCTGTCATACGCCCTGTGGGATGCTCCGAAGGAGCGGCCATGTTTTCCCGAGCCATCCACTGAGCCCTTCACCTGGCGAGTTCCGAGAACGCCGATCTCGAACCGAGCACTGATCTCGAACCAGGCAGTGAAAATGCGGGTCTCGAATCAAGGTGGAATGGTCAGTTAGATGATGTGTTGCATGCGGGAAGCTCCAGTGAGATGACAGCCAATGATGCAACTCCTGCTTTCACCTGGAACCCAAACAGCGGCTGGATCAATTTGGCAGTTTGGATATGATATAGGTATATAAGTTTCCTTTACAATAGGTCCGGCTCAATTTTCTATATTGTCTCAACATTAGGGCATGTCCTATTTCCTCTACCTATCAAGCCCACAATAATTAGTCGCGCAAGTTATGTTAAGTTAAGCACTATGCGTCTTATACAAGTCGTGGCATTCCTTTGTTGAATAGTTGTTTGAACATCCTGAGACTGCGGGCGGGCTCCATTCATCAAGGGTTCTATTGAGACTACAGAAGATCTCTCCCCATAGTTGTCCAAAAATGTGCCCCCCTTAAGTGGCATGGACGTGGGGGTCCCCGAATTGCATTTGTTGGACGTAGGGGGACCTTGATTGCATATAATATATTCGATGGTACTTTACATCTGTAGGAATATTATTAACATCTGGGTGGCATAAGTGCGCACATGGAAAAACACCGATCCCCCAACGAACAATCGCCTGGACCCTCCCTCAGTGGACAAACACCGCTATGTTTTACGGCCAACTGTTTTTGATTTACTTCGATTTGTGAATCCCCTCAAGCTAACCCCTTTGCTTTAGCAAAGGGAACTCAAGCCAGTTAAAAGCCACATCCAAGACCACATCCGACATCCTACCAGGTAGGATTCGTGGATGTCAGATTCGGCTCAAAACCTGGGACGATCTTTAAGGTTGTTCTGGCACATCTGCTCCCGGATGGCCACATCCGACATCCTACCAGGTAGGATGTCGGATGTGGCTGCTGAAGTGATGTTTTGTGAGCCCCTTCCGTTCTTGATTTCTGCTTGCAAACATGTCTACAGCATGTGGGCAAATGCTCGAGGCTGTCCGTTCAAGTCGAGAACGACAGTCAGTTTAAGAAATCAGAAAGTCAGAAGACGTGTTCAAGTTTAAGAAATTGATTTAGCTGTCCTGGCATCCAAGTAGACGCTTTTAAAATGCAATTGGAAAATGCCATTTCTTGCGTATCGTCCCTAGGCAATTGCTTTTTTTAAGCGGGTGTACATGTCCAAAGGCTGGCGTCACGGGTGCCCTGGAAATGGCTTACGCAACTTGGCAAATGGCATGAAGTCGATATCGATCGAATGCAGTATAAAGAATATCAAAGAAAGTTTAGGGTGCAAAACTTCTGTGTTACGGACTTTCGTCAGCTCTAGCTCTAGTGACTCTAGTCAGCTCTAGTTCCAGTCAGCTCTCTAGCTCCAGTTAGCTCTAGCTTTAGTTAGCTCTAACTCTAGTTAGAGCTAGCTCTGGTTCGCTCTAGCTTCAATCTGCTCTAGCTCCAGTTAGCTCTAGCTCTGGTGTACGTTCTGTTGATGGAAATCCATTGCGTTTTGCAACTCCTGGATGGTTTCCGCAATGTGAATGTGACTGCAAGGATGAGTTGTCGCTGGAATTTCATTGTGTTTTGGAACTTCAGGATCGTTCTCGCAATGTAATTGGCACTTTCATGTCTGGTTGGATCATGTCTTCCAGGTACATTTTTGAGGAAGTCTCGCAGGCTTGCTTTGTTTTGCAGGTCTTCAACACATGGGTTTTAGTTTTGGAAGGAAGTCTCGTACAAAATGCGTTTTTGAGAGATAGCGGATGCACGAAATGTTGTGTTTTTCCATACAAGGTGTGGCTCCGAACCTGGAAAGTCAAGCTCTGCGGACGGACGGTCTCGCGTCATGCTCGGATCATGCTCGAATCACGAATCGCCCCTCCATTGTAACTATAAAGTTTTCACCTGTTTCTGGTGTACGTTCTGTTGATGGAATTCCATTGCGTTTTGCAACTCCTGGATGGTTTCCGCACTGTAAATGCGACTGCAAGTCTAAGTGTTGCTGGTGGATGTTGTCGCTGGAATTTCATTGTGTTTTGCGTGAGGAAATCTCGCAGGCTTGCTTTGTTTTGCAGGTCTTCAACACATGGGTTTTAGTTTTGGAAGGAAGTCTCGTACAAAATGCGTTTTTGAGAGATAGCGGACGCATGAAATGTTGTGGTGGCTCTGAACCTGGAAAGTCAAGCTCTGCGGAACGACGGTTTCCGGACGGTCTCGCGTCATGCTCGGATCATGCTCGGATCATCCTCGAAGCGTCCCTCCATTGTAACTAGAGCTTTCACCTGTTTCACCGTTCCTTGGCCTTGCCTATAGGGGCATCTTTCTGCGTGCGTCGCTGTGGGCCACGCAGACAGCCGGGAAATGCTCCTATGTGCGTCGTTATGGACCGCATTAACAGCTGATACCGCGCAGGACTCTCTGCACTGTGTGGAAAAAAGGGATGTGGAAAAAAGGGATGGTTCATGGGTTGGAGGGCTGTCGGGTGGCGGCGTGGAGGTCGCAGCATGTTCAGGTCTGCGGAAGGGTCATGGGGAGTCAGAACGATCGTCCTCTTCTCGAGTCCTCCGTCGTCCTTCTACTGAAACACCACCACCATCAACATCATCATCATCATAATTACTCATAATTGTCATCATCATCATCATCATCATCATCCTCACCACCGTCCTCGCCATCATCAACATCATCATTACGAGCCGTCATCACCAGTGTCATCATCATTATGATCAGGATAATGGGCACCAGCATTGTCATCATCATGATCATCATCGTCACCAGCATCATGTTCATCACCATCGTTACCAACCTCATCATTACAATCATCATCGCAATCACCAGCATCACCTTGCTCACCATCATGAACATCATGACCATCATCATCATCATCATCATCATCATCATCATCGTCCCCACCGTCATCACCATGCCCAGAAGCGGCCACGCTGCATGTGACATCCACCCTGGTTAAGGAGGGTGGACGTACAGAAATGTGATATTACATTTGGGAGGTCCTCTTTGATTGTCCTGCCCCCCTTCCACCCATTGGTTTTGAATGCGCACAATGGTGCAAATACCTCGTTCTCATGATTGGATGATCACCGCGCTCAACAATGCTCTGCACTGGCACTGGAAACAAGAAACGCCGGCTGGACTTTCTTCAAACTAGGAAAACCAGATCACGAAAATTCGCTCCAAGTCTCTATCATGAAATAATGACAAATGTTTTCCATATGATCCTTTTTCCATACGATTGGGGGCGCCAAAAAGTATGGACATTGGCAAGGCTCATAGTGGGGGATGCCCTCAATGATCAAGCAATCACATTCCCCATCAGTCTAGATTCTGTAGTACTACGATGGTAAAGGGATGGTGGATTCCTCAACCTGGAGACCGCACAGAGAGATTCCAAACCGCACCCGTTTTCGAGACACGTGTTGACGCCACGCGGCGCCTCTCTGTCAAGTCTCACTGCACGCGGACACTGTGCCAGCCGAACGCTGGGAAACTGGAGATGAGTTGAAAGCGTATTTTGGCTGCACGGCTAACACGGGAAAAATAAATTAAATGAACGCAAACCACTCTCTGATAATCCATCCATCAAAAACCACTTGGAGGCGCCCCGGTATTGACAGGCACGGACCGGGGCTGAACAACTTTCTGTTGTATCTAAACATTTGCTCATTTGCTCACATAAATCATCGAAAACTATTCATAAGAATGAAGAGATAGGTTTGCGATTGATTGCTACTTGCTTTCCTCGCTCTGCTCATTCAAGCATCCCGCGGATCATGTGACAGGGGTGCGGGAGCGATGATTGGATGACTGTTTGGTCGCAGACTGCAGGGCATGTGCGAAGGGACACTCCGGATGCAGAGCTATAGGTCAAATTGTTCTTATAGGAAACTTCCGCAGCTGGCTTGCCTGGGAACTGCTTGTATATTGTATATTCTGTGTATACTTATCTGTAAATATATATATATATATGGTTATGAATTATGAATATATATATATATGTATGTATGTGTGTGTAACCTTTAGAGTCACGAGGTTCCTGTTGGATTGTTTGTTTTTGAATTTGCAGGAGGGTTACAGCATTTCACTGGGACTGTGTCCAACGAAGCTACCAGTGAACTGGGATATCCAGCTTGGCCAGCTGGATGCCTACATCAACTTTTAAGTTTCCGTAAAGGGCTAGTACATGCGGCAAACAAGAGCGTACGACGTCATCCTGTCGGTCCCTCGCACCATGGAGTTTGACTTCTGGCCTTTAACTAAAGGCGCTCAGGCCTCCTTACCTAGTTGTTCAGGATTCTGGTCTCTTAGGTTGCCGTGTGGCGAGTGGCATTCGCATCAGTACGCATAATCTTGAGCGTGTGCGTTTTGGCTTTAATCTAATGAATGGGTGCTCTACGGTGCTCCCCTGCCATGCAAACCAACCACTGAGGTTCCTATTATTGCTTCCTTTACGGGTTGCTTATTTGTCCTGTCCTTCTATAGGTCAATTTCTTCCTGAGACTTTGAGCTGGTCCTTTTATGAAAACTCACCTCATCATGCCCAATTTCTTTTGCAAGGGGGAAGTTCAGCGAGCACCCTGAAGTTGATTTGTATGAATGCCTTAATGAAGGAATGAAGGAATGATATGCTGTTCCTTCCTCGTCCATACGGCTCATCACCCGTCCAGTCATCTTCTCAGAACTACGGGGGGGAGAATCTGAAAATCTAAATGGAGGCCATCGCTAGTATGTTGGAGGCCTCGCTATTAGGTTCCTATTGCTACTAGGGTTCAGAACCTAAGGATTTGGCACCTTCGATTGAGGCCTCCATCCGCATGAAAACGCTCCGAGTCGCCGAGCCGAAGCGCCGTCGTCCCGAGCGCTTTTCCGCAGTGTCCACCCCGCCTCGTACTGACCGGGGCCTGTGGAGCCCAAGGATTCGGCTAAGCTACGGTCGTCCAAGGCGAAACGGTTGGCCTGCCAATCGGAGCAGAAAGACATGACTAGTAGAAGGTGCATCGCTACTAGCAAAAAGAAGCTACTGGGGGCTCCTGGCCTTACTGCTAATAGCAAGAAGCTACTAGTAACAGGTGCATCGCTACTAGTAACAAGGGCGTCGCTCGCTACTTGTAGCAAGAAGCTACTAACTAGTCCCTGCACCAAGCATTCGTAGGAGGAAACAAATTGCACGCTTTTTGTTGGTGTTCTTTGCCGGAAGCCGTTGCCTTGCTTTGGACTTGGCGATGGGATAAAAAGAACGTCGTTTAAACACAAAAATGGAAACAATATGCCGTATGCTCTCTCATGCTCTCTCATGAGGCTCATCGATTCAGCCACGCGAGCCTTGGAGAATCTAATGTGCGCTGGAGGGTTGTCAGGTGACCCTCGAACCTCATAGACCTTGCGAGAGTGCCACGGGCTGTGCTAAGGTCCGACCTTTCAAGTTCCTCGGCTCTCCATGACCCGCCAAGCCCTCTGCTGGTCCAGGAGCACGGAAGTGAGTGTCGCATAAGTCTGGCCTGCATTCAGGGGAAATAGGAGTGATCTTTGCAACCCATCAGCAGTGCGAAATAGTGCCAACTCATTCTTTTCACATATACCGTGTTCCACTTCTCAGCATGGGATAATATGATGGAGAAATGGAATCCGTGGGGAGCGTCTCTCGTAGATACCCACCATCTCACGCGGGGCGCCTCTTGGAGGTGCCGAATCTCACGCGGGCTTCGGACTTGACCTCGGTTCGGTTCCACATCGCCAACATCAACGGCCAAAAAAGTCTGAGCGCTGGGCTAGGCGCGGTATGTAGGTACCTCCAAACATGGAAGAGTTTTGTGTATCTGTTGAGTCGCGGTAGGGAAGGTTGAAGGGTCGAAATGCCGGCCTTGCCTGGTGCTGGCGAGTCACGAGCCATCATGGCCATGAGATGGTCCTCGGCTTCTGAAAAAAAGTAGTATATATGAGTATATATGCTGTCATGGATTCACCGAAAAATCAGGCACCTTGGTGATCATTGTCTTGGACCATGCCTGCTGCAAACCAGAGCAGAAAACTCTTTATACAAACCACCTGAAATATGGTTTAGTTAGTTATATAAATTATGCTAAATACATCATGATTCTTATATAAAGCCAATTGAATCGTCACCATCAACATTTTTTTAACATGAGTTGCATGGCTATGTAGCACATCTGGGTTGAGACATGCTGCCTTGCCGTGCTTGGCGATCAGCGGCGCTGAGGGCTCCGAGAAGTTCTGGGAGAGCTGCTGTCGGCCTAAGCGGTTTACCGTTACCAGTACAGTGGCCATATGCTTGTTCCATATCACAATCCAATATATGGCAATACTGTATACGCCCCGCATGGTGTTTCTTTTCCTTCCAACTGCTCCAAGTTCCCAGCCGAAGCTTTGGCCAATGTCATAGGTTCCGGGACCAGGCTCAAGGTCCTCGAAGAGTCCGTCACTCTGCAAACGTCACTCACACAACTGCTGGCTTCAACATCTTCAAAGGGCATCGCTACTAGGAGCAAAGAAGCTACTAGGGGCTCCTGGCCGTACTACTAGGAGCAAGGACGCTACTAGAGACTCCTGGCCGTACTACTAGGAGCAAGGACGCTACTAGGGGCTCCTGGCCGTACTACTAGGAGCAAGGACGCTACTAGGGACTCCTGGCCGTACTACTCACACAACTTGCGCTCGCTGTCGACGCGCTTCCCGCGACCCTGCACCGTGTTGGTGGGTGTCCGGGAGTGGCAGTATCATCTTGTCGGATAATGACATTGCAAAAAGCTACCACGTGAGACGACTAGCTGCGTGAAACCGAATGTCCGCGCTGCTCGTAGGGGTCTCGAGGGTAAATTCCTAATTAGGAGCAGGAATCAGAACAGAGTCAAGATCACCATTTTTGTTCCACACTTTGCGGAGGTTGCGGCGGTATTTAAACTTCTGTTCGAATGTGAGTGATTGTGCAGGGACAATGGGAAAATGCGCGACAGCATGACGCATGGGCACCAGGCCATCAGGATGATAGGGTGGCTTACAATGCAAGTTTTCTGCATAAAGGACAAGTGTCCGTTGAACGGCACCGGAATTAGGAAGTTCCGGGCGGGATGCAAAACCACCGGTATATGATCGTCCCCATCCCACCTGTGTCAGGCTGAGCGACCCTGTTTTGGAGTATTTCGGAACCAAGGGTGTGTCGGTATACCCTTGAAGGTAGATGACGATGGTTCGAAGGGCTTCGGCCTGTTCTCTTAGAGATCGGCGTGTGATAGGAAGGGCTAGCACAGCCGGATCTTGCCAATGAAATGGTTGTGCCCTAGGCTGGCCGGCTTTTCTAATCCACGTGCGAAATTGCAGACCGGTATTGACAATGAATGCCTGTGACTCCCACCTCGTCGGAGAGGGGAGCATCTGGATTTGGCCACTTAAGACTAGCACAAAATCGCAAAACCAGATCAGCATATTGATTACCCCAGACGCATGCTGTGACGAAAGCTGGATGTACCGTTGGGGTCAAGCAGACTGGTTCAGAGAGAATCGCGTACACTTCACGTTTGCGAAACATGGTACCCCAATCTGCTGTAGAGTCATGATGAGTAGAATTGGAGATCTTTGGACTCTGAGCTTGCTTAAGGTTAGCATGAGCTTGATTCAGTGCGGCAAGATACTGCAAGATAGCTTTAGTTTGGACAAACTGATCATGGATCAGTGAATCGACAACGGCATGATCGGTTTTACGTGCTTGAACCGCTGCATGATCTGCCCGTGAATTTCCCATAACATCATCTCTTGCAGGGCCCGGGGGCACTTCATGGATGTTCTGATGTGAACGAACTTTGCGAAGAACGAATTTGGACGGAGACCACGACTGGGCAATAATTTGAAGCAGGTCTGCGTTGGCTAGGCGATGCCACGAAGGGTAACTAGTCGGTCGGGCGATCTGATTAATGGTGTTAACAACATATTGCGAATCTGTCGTAATAACGATTTGTTGGGGCCAATGATGTTGAGTGGCTTGCTGAATTATCCAAGTGACTGCTGCAAGTTCTGCCCGGGCGATGGATTGTGGTCCCTGCACATGTTGAATCTTGATGGTAAGGAATGGAACCGAGAGTGAGTCCGGTCGGAACTGAATGATCGACCATGCAGCCCTGCGAGTTTCTGGGTGTAATGGTGCATCTGCCGATCCATCTGTGTAAAAATATTGGACATCTGCTTCTTGGAGGATACGGGTATGTCCTGTGTCCTGACCCCGTGCCATAAGAAATTGTCGCAACTCTGTCATGTAGGGGAATGCTCCTGGCAGAGGCAGCCAAATCTTCTGGGGGTTATTATTTAAGTAAGCTACCGCCCGTGGATGTTGATTACGAATCTCTTGAAAGGCTGGACATTCAAGTTGCTGATGTGTATGGGTATCGATCTGAGTGCAGTAAGGGCATCGTGCGTCGGTAGTGGCAGACCATAAGGCTTTTACAGCCCCAACCTGGTACCCTCCAGTAAGGTTGTAAGCGATTAATCGGATAGAGGTTGTAGGTAGAGTACGCAAAGCACGGGACAGAATCACGAAATCAAAGGGATGGTCCTGGACTCCTTTGTGGTGACAAATATTACGATTGATCTGATAGGCCCAAGCTAAGCGCAACTGTTGTCGGATGTACTTAAGAGCATCGCACCGAATGGAAACAGACAGGTGCCCATCAAGGGTAAGACGACCATCCGGGGCCAAAGACCAGCCAACCTGATTAAGATAGCGGGCTAGGGCCCCGGCTGGGCCAATTGCAGGGCCGTCATGCTGAAGTACCGCTTGTAGAAAACGATTGGCTAAATCTGGATTGACATGGAACATACGCAAGAATGCCAGGGCATTAGTTATGACGTAAAGTAGAGGATCTTGCAATTGAGTACTGAACAAATGAACTGCTAGCCAACTGGAGATCTGTGCCTCAGGCCCAATTAATGCCATGGTCGCTTCCCGACGGAGTGTTCTGAAATGCTCGTCGCCAACAATTTGGGTTTCGGCTCCAAAGAAGGCATGTGGCCAGATGGCCGTTTGGATGATCCGAGCTTTGTGGGCAATGTCCAATTGAAACCATCGAATGCGTTTGCATCGTTGGACTGCGCTAGCAATTTTAGTTTTAAGATGTCCCAAGGTGATGTGGTGCGTGTAGTGGGTCATACAACCGAGGTCTTTGGTAGAGTTGAGAATTTTAACTGGAGTATCATTAGGGAACTCCTGGTGTAGGAATGTCTGCCAGTCTTGCCGTGCATCCAGGGTAGCCCCCCAGGCCCAAGATTTAGTGAAGTCAATCTGCATGCGAAGAGCCTCCACAAGTTGTTTAATTTTCTGGAATGTAAGGATATTGTCACGTTGGTTCGTTGTCAGGTAGGACCAGTTATCTGCATAAGCGTACGGGAAGACGGTCGGGGTCTGAAGCGTCCAGTAAAAGGTGGAAGAAACCACTAGCATGGCACATACGGACATACTATCTCCCTCTGGTACACCAGTAGTCATATGAATTGCTGGCCCAATTGCATTGCGAACTTGAAGTCTACGCGTCATCTTGCGAAGGTTCTGAAACCAGAATGTCACGGATTGAGGGGGTGCGCCGTGATGGACGAGGAGATGGTAAATGACACGACGAGGCAGTAAAATTAAAAGCTCTAATCAGGTCGAGTGTGAAGCCTCTCCACGGAAGGAAGCGGTTCTTGGCGGACTCGATTTGGAATTGTTGCATGAACGTAATGTCTTGGACTCCCCTAAAAGGCAAACCTCCTGAAATGGCACTTGGCCATGTAAGGGCCCATTGACTTAGTAACTGATCGGCAACAAGCTTAGATGTGAGACGACTTAAGTAGCCAAGAATAGTGATTGGGCGTCCGTCAGTAATGGCAGTAGGGGGCTGCCGTTTTGCCAGCAAAACAACTCGAGCAATTAAATGATGTGCGGACAACCCTTGGGGCCAAATGATGGTCAAAATGCTAGCAAGATCTTCAATGGCTTCATATGGGAGCGATTGTAACTCTTCGGCCCTCCAGCCATCGATACCGACAGCTTTAAATGGTTTGAGGCGTTGGATTGTCTGTCGCAGGATTTGCGGGTTATCCCAGTGAACTTGCAAAGGTGTACTCGGTGGGATTCGATTACAGAGAGATGTGATGGTCTGTTCCCACGGGTGGTCGGAGCATTCCTCGTGTGAGGTGTCACGATTCCAGAATTGGGACCAGTATTTTTCGAATGGGGCTGCCATTTGATTGACTTCAAAAGCAAAGACTCTTGGATGAGATCCCCGTGTGTGGGGAGGTGACCATGTAGGATGTGACAGATGATACGAGAATCATGTTGTTGCATAATCCGAACCTGGGCACTACCAAATGTTGCCGCCGCATATAAGCGGAAAGTCACTGGTTGATGAATTGTCAGGGAAACCGGGCCCTTGTTCGATCGACATAGTGTGGCTTGTGCGGTAATCCGTACAGGAAACCCTGGCAGCACTTTGGCATCATGGTCTTTAAGTCGTTTATAGAACTGTGAACTGGATTTGTGTTGTATATCGAGATTCACTGCGTGTTGACGAGACTGCCGCCTTAGTTTGGCTTCATGCTGGCAGTACAGGTCGGCATCATACTGGGTAATTTGACGAAAGCAGTAAATCTGATCATAACTTGGAAGGTCCTGCGGGACTGCCGAAATAGATTCAAACTGGAGGAGCCAATGTGCCCATGATCGTCCGTACCCATTGGCTGAATATATGACTTTCCACAAATGTTGCACTTCAAGAACTTGTGGTACGTGGTCTGTCTGCGGGACTGAAGAGTGCACAAGATCATATTTCTTAAAAAGACGCTCAAGAGAACGAAGGCGACGAACCTGTCTGATCTTTTGTCGGCTCTTAAGAGATGTGACTTCGGCAGGCGGCTCGTATTGGCCAGTAACATCTCTCTTTGGGGTGCGTACATGACTGTTCCGGATGAGTTTTGGTTGGGCACAACGGCCGCGAAAAGTCTGTGGCAAGAATCCCTGCGTTTGTCTCAAAGGGTCGGCAGCTTTCTGGAGACCAAGTGCCTGATGAACAGCTTTCTCCACTCGTAACGACCATTGAGACAGACAATCGGCTGGATAAGTGGAAAACGAAACACCCGGAGAGCTGCGGGCTTGTCGGTATTGACGAGCGAAAATGTCTGGGTCAAGTGGGAATAAGGTCCAGGACTTGGGCACGAACCATGAGTGAGCATCTACGAGATTAGTCGGAACGTTGGACTGAACATGTGCGACACAATGATCTGCAAACTGATGTTCTGGTCCGATGTCAATACGGTGGATGTATTTGACCAAGGATGGGTGAATAATCATGGAGTCGTACCTGGTCGCCCAATTGCATGTCGGGGGAAGTTCAAAGCCAAATGCTTGACGGTGAAACTGAAACATTTCCTGGCAGCCCATATTG